CGTTCCGCTGAAAGTTATCTAGAGATCTCTGTCTGTGCGTGTATATATACATATATTTTAAATATGTCCATATCTATATACTTGTATGTTTAAAGTATATATTCTTCGTGTGTGTGTGTAGAATATAACTGCCTGTTCAGGTGTTCTCCTGGGCGGTGGCACTCCTGCCTGCAATCCAGGATTTCACTTGGAAGCGCTGCCGGCACCCAGCACTTCACAGCGTTACCCCATCATCGGGGAGAGCACTTGCATGGGTGCAAGCTCTCCTGATGGCCTCCTGCTAAATCTCTGCCCAGCAGGGCTTTTTTATTTTATTTTTTTGGTTGGTTTTAAAGCATGTGTGCTCTCTCTCTTTTTCTCTCTTTCTATCTCTCTCGGCTCTGATGAGAAGGTGACTGGTAGTATATCTGGGCCCAGCGCTGGCAAAATGCTCCTTCTGACCCTGGTGGGGAGGGTCTGGTTTCAGCAAAATAACCTTTTGGGGCTATGCACTGCCTCTCTTGAGGGGCAAAAGAAAGCAGTGCTAGTTCAGCTATGGTGGTGTGCCCTGAAGTGGAGAAAGGGCTACAAATTTCTACAGCTTCCCATATCTCATGTTTTGTTATTTTTGCATTCTGGGGCTGAAAGTGAATGGCATTTGCAAGTTCTCTTTTGCCCACTGAGACAGTGTGTTCCAAGTCCCCTGTCATTTTAGCAGCATATCATTCTGGCTTTATTTATTGGCAAGAACTTGGAAATATTTCTTCCTAGTTTTGGCCCCACCACTTAGGATTTCTTAAAAGTTTTTTCCTCTTACCAAGAGCAGTGCTTATTGAAGCCAAAACTTAAGAGAACATCAGGCTATCAGTGTCAGCCTAAAGCTTTCTCTTGATCTAAATATAGCAAAGGAAGACTAATTCTCCTCATCTAATTGCCATCAAAGAGAACAATTTGTATAAGAAGGAATTTTAACTCTTCAGGGGATTATTAAGCATTCTGCCAGCCTACAGCAGCTGTTCTGTGCTGTGTATTGTACTAGTATTATTTGTCATGGATGAAATGCAAAGAGAAGGATTTATGTTTGGTTGCACCATGAAATTAAAAGCCAAACTGAGCCTAGATCCTAATGTTAGTGGGCATAACTAGGGTGTTGAAAATAGGCTAATTGGCTGTCTCTTCTAAATCCTCTGCAGAATTGCTCTGTTTGTATAGCATAAAGTGTGTGGAAATTTCTTAAATAGTGGGAGAAGGAATTCTATAGTATTTTTATTGGGTTGTTAAAACCTAAGTATTCTTCCGAAACTGTCAGAGAGTAAATCTTTATTTTTTCCCTGGTGTCTGACATGGGCAGAAGGTTTTGAGAATTCTTTAGATTCCATGGGTTGCAGATCCCATGGCATGCATAACTTAGCCAGGTCACAAATCCAGAACTCTGTCATGATTGAATGACTTTATGTACCTGACTTCTTTAAAGGCCTAATCATATAACTGAACCAGAATCTAGGGTTTCAGCTGTAATTTGTGAGCCCTCAGGTACTCAGTCAGAAGACTGTGTTAAGAACCCAGAGTGGAGATTTTGGGCTCTGTAAGAGAGAAGCAAACAAATGCAAGTGTGAGGCAGCTGAGGTGGTAAGAACAGAGTATGACTGTGAAGGTGACAGGCCTGGCTTGAGGGCTACCCCTGAGCTTGTTTCCCTTAACTGTACCGCTTTTATCACTAAAAGAGGAACAAAATGATATGAAAGAGCTTGATGAGAATGCAGGGGAGGAGCAGATGTCTGAAAAACATTTCACTTGGGCAGATTCAGTTGACATTCAGAAATTTCTTGAAGGTGCCAGATGTGTTGAGGAGGTTGTGAAAAGAAGGGGAATCTCCCACTCCTCCAAAGTGAATTTCAATTTCTTTAGTGAGAAGCAAGAATATTTCACAGATCTTCAAAGTATCCACTCTGACCTCTCAAGCTGGCTGGTAGACAGCATAATTTTACTGGTTGCACTGCAAATGCATGATTCATGTTTAAATGACTGTGTCCAAGTCATACAGCTTCTTCAGCTTCCTCTTCTAAGCTGGATGCATTTCCTGGGACATGTGGGCTTGGGTAAAATACTGCTTAGGAGAGGTGTTCTTGTAGATATTACAGCTTTACAGTGCATTAGAGGTCTGGTTTTGCTTATGGATGGGTGGCTGAGAATCTGAAGGTGACAGAATAATACTTATTTACTCCAGTTGCTTTGTTAAGCTGACTTAATAAATACTAAAAGGAATTTTCCTATCACCTGCCTTTAAAGCTTCCTGAAATCCTAGCTTTAAGGCTGTTTTGCAGCACCTGGAGCAGTGTATTTCTGTTCTCTGGTGTCTAGAAAGAACTGTTCCTTTTCTTTCTGCACTGGGCTGCTGCTTTGCTTGATTTTCTGCACAGCAATAGGTAGAAAGAGGACACACATTTCTAGAACCCACTTTTATATTTCAAGTCTTTGCCTGTCCAATACTTTTGCTTTTAAACACAAGATGACATAAGGGGAAAAAAAAGAGAGTTGCTCTCTTTAAGGAGATAGCTCTTTCCTATTCTGTACAAACCTCTCGTAGTCCATGGGCACAGAGAAGAACTGCTTATAAAATTAATCTGGTTAATAAACAGTCATAACAGGGAAGACAGCATGTAACTCCTGGGCTAGTGGCTTATGTAAAGCTGAGGCTACAGGTTACTAAGAAACTTCTGCTACCTGCTGATGCTTTCAGGAGTGTTGTGTGAGAGCTGAGCTCTCTTAGCTTTCTAGCAGGCAGCCAGCATTTGAGGTGAAGCTCTGTTTGGCCCATGCAAAATAAACACTAAGCACTGAGAAACCTCCTTGGTGAAAGCAAATGTGTATTATTGGGAGATGAAAAATAGAGGCACCAACTGTGAAAGCTGTGGCCAAGGAGGAGTATTAAATTGCTTCAGTGCTGCACTTTGCTGTTCCTCCTGACTGTAAAAGTCACAGTGATTTTAACCAAAGGGGTTGTCATGCCTGGGGTGCCAGTAGGCTAAATCAGCCCTTAGAAGAGGATGGAGCTGCATAGTGTGCTGGAGCCTCCCTGCTGAAATTGGGCCTCCTCTTCAGACATCGAGTTGTTTGTACTGTGATGTTCATTGTTTCTCTTCCTCTCTGCTTGTCCCCCCAGCCTGGAGTAGTGCTTGGCTGTGTCCCTCCTGAGCGCTCCCTGGGCAAGGACGATGATCACATTCATGAACAACTCGGACAGTGAGGAGGAGCCCTGCAATGAGAGAACATCCCTGATGTCTGCAGAGAGCCCGCCGGTACCCTCCTACCAGGATGGCCTGCAAGCCTCAGAAGCAGGGGAGGCGCAGGCACACAGGGTAGGTGTGCGTCCTGGAGAGTGAAGAAAGGGGGAGTGATGACAGATGTGGTCCTGCTAACGCTCAACCCTCCCAGCAGATTGGCTTCTAGGGTTGGCTTTGGCCAGTATTGTTTCTCTGGTGTCACTCTCACCCAGCAACAGCAGTGCCTGTTCCCGTTTCCTCCACTGTGGCTTTTTTCCCCTCTTTTTATGTCCATATATACTCCTCCCTTTTCCTTCCTTTTGGTAAAGACACAGGCTTTTAATCAGAACCTGATGCTCATATGACTCTTGCAGGATATCCTTTTCAGCCTTCTTGTTTTGCTAGAAACCCTTTGTCTGCTCTGCTCAAGTGCAGCAAATGTTAGAACAGAATCTAGTCCTGCTGCCAGTGAAACAGCAGGGTAAAGCAAGCCCAGCATTACTGTGGGGGGAAGAAATGGTCCAGCTTATGTCACCTCAGATGACATTTCTTCTATCTCAGGTCTTGGCCTCTTCCCCTTCATGTGCCTGTGTCCTTCTATATATTTGCACTTGAAGAGGCTCTTAGGAATTTGTGGGTTTGGTTAAAAACTCCATCGCATCCCATTTGCAATGGAATTTCTAATAGTGTTGTTCATTTGGTACCTTTCTATTAGGAACAAGTTGGTATGCTGTGGTGGCCTACAGCAGCCTCATGAAACATGATGGAATAAAGCTTTGAACGCAAAGAGAAGAAGGGTCTTACGTTTTTGCTAATATTTCTTTCCAGAAGAGGCGAACAGGTAGCAGCCGTAGCCCTAACAATGTTGCTGATGGACAAGGGTCTGACTCGGGTGTTCCAGTGAGAGAAAGAGCCTTGGAAAACGAAGAGGAGGAACTGACTCTGAAATATGGAGCCAAGCATGTAATCATGCTCTTTGTGCCTGTCACCCTTTGTATGATTGTTGTCGTCGCCACCATAAAGTCAGTGCGCTTCTATACGGAGAAAAACGGGCAGCTGTAAGTGGGGCCTTCAGCACAGCCTCCGGCACACGGGCACCGGCCTCGCCCTCGCGTTCCACGCGAGGCGCTTCCCTGGTGGGTTGGGACAACCTTTACACAGCTACAAGTGGCTGTGTGAACGTAGACAGACCTTTCTAAAGTATGCTGCATCCCTCTGTGTAAGTTTTTCCACCCCTGATTCATTAGCGCTGTCGTTAGGGCGCCCTAAGAGAAGCCTGTGACAATGAAGTTGCTTCTTACTGCAGCATAAGAGGCTCAGGCTGAACTCTCAGTCTGTTCACTCACTGGCAGCAACTGGGGAATAGCATGTTCATTTGGATGAGTGTCTCATTTCCTGATGACATTTCTGGTTCCTAAAGACTCATGGTGTGGATACGTAATTCCATCCAGCTCTTGCCGACCGCTCCTGGGGTTCTGACTGCGCTTCATACATCAGTGGGGTGGAGAAACAGGGACTGTTGTCCCTTGAACTGAACCAAAGGAAACAAAATGGGAGGGCGTGCAGGGGGGTGAGCAGGGATAAAAGCGTCCAAGACTCTCCTACTGAGTGTGGAAAGAAAGGGCTGCTTGCTTTCAGGACAACACCTGGGATGTATGCTTATAATTGTCATGGAGAGGATCCAGAGCATGCAATAAAAATTCATGGCCTGGAGAGAAGCTATTAAACTTAGAGTAATTTATACACTAGGTCTTTTTGTTTAGAGCTCTGCCAGCTACAACTTCTCTGTAGGAATGTGCTTTTGATAGAGACCACTAATCAGTAGTTGATAATTAACTGGAGCTTTCAGGGCTTACATCTCATGTTTGCTGTCCTTGGCAGTCGTACCCCTTTCTTTCCTGCACACAGAGAGGTCTGGTTTTATCTTGGGGCTCTTAGCTAGAAGAGAATACAGATATTTTATATGGCTTTTGCTTTCTGCTGCAGGATCTACACCCCTTTCAGTGAGGATACCCCATCTGTAGGCCAGCGCCTCTTGAACTCGGTGTTGAATACCATCATAATGATCAGCGTCATCGTTGTAATGACCGTGTTCCTAGTGCTGCTCTACAAGTACCGCTGCTACAAGGTGAACTTCTCACACCGGAGCCTTTTCCACCTATAAGCTGCCAGCTTGAGGTCAGGTGGGGCTGGCGTGTCAGTGAGAAAGGCAGGCCCTGCACTGCCTAGCCCACATCTTAGTCACAGCAAGTCATATTGTACAGAAGCCTTTGTCAGTGGTGGCAGAGCTGTGTCCCTGCATAAGTTTTGCTGTTATTTTGTCACTAATGATAGGCTCTTAAAAACAAGGCCTGCTACTCGGTGTTATTCAGGACTGAGTCTCCTCCATCTGATCAGAAAGTTGTGCTGTTTGTACTGACAGACTAGGTTGTACCGTTTACTGCAAAGGCCTTCTTTACATAAGTTTCAGATAAGTTTTGTGAGAGCTGGTATTCTTCCTGCCCGGGAGGCTCTGGTGGAAGGGGACAAGGCTTGGAGGGAAAGGCATGTTCAAAACCTGGGTTTTATGGTGTCCAGGGAGTTTTGTATGTGGTACCAGCCCAGCATTTGAGCGGTGGCCATTGCTGCTTTTTTTAACTTGACTCTGAGATGGATATATTGTATAGCCTTGGGCAAACCCCTCCTTCTCCCTGCCAAGCTGAACATGCTTACCGAAGTCTAAGCTAGGAGCCAGTATGGATACCCATGCAAATGGACAGGAAAGAGACTAAAAAAGCCAGTCCAAACCAACAAAAGCAAACACCAAGGGACAGAATATAAAATAAAAGAGTTAGGGAGAACTGGGAGCAACAGGCTGTCCCAACCCCTCCCAGGCCGTGGGGAAGGCAGGGTCTTTGGGAGCTGGAGGAAGAGTGCAGAAGGAGACTTTTGGACAGTAGGAAGCTCTGTCAGGAGTGCACACAGCGCTGCAACTTGCGTGAGAGGCAACAGCCCCTTCATTCACTGTCTCTTCTTGCCCTTGATAGTTCATCCATGGCTGGCTGATCCTGTCCTCTTTGATGCTGCTCTTCCTCTTTACCTACATATATCTTGGGTAAGTGGGAATGGTGCAGGTAACCTGGCAGTTCAGGGCTCCTTAAAGGAAACTTGAGCAAGGAAAGGAACATTTCCCCTTCTCCAAATGGCAGTTTAAGAATTGTTAGATAGCTTTCTTTTTTAAAACATGGAAAATGAGGCTTTTAATAGGCAATGCCCAATTTTACAGTGCCTGCTCTACAAAAATCACTGTGAAGTGAAACCATGAGCATGAAATGTACCTTCTGGTACAGAAGCCCTGAATTATACATTGAGAAGCAAGGGGAAAGGAATCTTGTGCTGAGCTGGTTCTCTGATTTGTCTTGCCTTTTTCTCAAGACTACGTTGTTTCAGGCTCATTCCCTTAGCTCTCAGCTCAGGTAGAACCAAGCTTCTAACTTGTGGGTGACACTTGTTACAACTTTTTATTTTTAGCTTCTTTAAGCTAAATACATTTAGTAAGTATCATGCATCTAGTGGGATGACTTACACGGCTTCTTTGCTGCAGACTGTCATGGAGCCACAGGCCTGTGTTAGGTTAAGGTTTGAATCCTGCCTGCTGAAACCCTTGGAATTGCTGCTGAGGTCAGGGCCAAGGCAGTGTGGTGACTGCACACCCAGCATGTCCATCTCCTGCAGGAGGAGCAGAGCTAAGAGCAGCAACTGGCTGCAGGGCAGGTTCTCCTTTCATAGTGAGGACTGCTTCTGTCCTGCTTCCTCCTGGTGTAGTTTGTTTAACTACAGCTAGGTGAGATGCTTTGCTTCTCAGTTGCTTTTATTGCTTTCCTAAATTTTCTTGTTGTATTCCAGTGAAGTATTGAAGACGTACAATGTGGCCATGGATTACCCCACTCTGTTCTTAATCATCTGGAATTTTGGAGCTGTTGGAATGATTTGCATCCACTGGAAAGGTCCTTTGCAGCTCCAGCAAGCATATCTCATTATGATCAGCGCTCTAATGGCACTGGTTTTCATTAAATATCTGCCCGAGTGGTCAGCATGGGTGATTCTAGGTGCAATCTCCATCTACGGTAAGTTTAGGTTGTGACTCTTGAGGTGTGGCTCACGGAGAAGCTGCTCTGAGGCAATCTCAGGACTGTGTATGTAATTAAAAAAAATGGTGCTAACAGCTGTAGAAAGAGGTACGTGGGCAATTAAGTTGATGCCCTGTCTTGTTCCTTGCTAACTTGTTAATGTAGTTGCTGTACTCCTACCATGCCTTTCAAAGTGGAACACCAAGTCAGGGAAGTACTGAACCACATCAGACTGCATAGTAGGGGTGGTTGGATTATCATCAGTAGCAACCTGATAGTCCTGCAGGTTTTGTTTACAGTTATCAAGAGATCATGGATTTTGTTATGAGTTACAGGTTGCAAGAGAACCTGCAGAACAAGAGGTAGCTGGGAGGTAATGTTCAGATTGGTGAGGAGCTCTGATGGAGGAGAGAAGGAAGGCAAAGAAGAACTGGACCAAAGGCCTTCATTCATGTGAAACACAGAGTCAGTGCACACACCAATGGATTGTGGAACGTGACCAAAGTACCCCCAGTCCGCCTCTCATGAAATTTAACACCTCCTTGTAATGCTGTCATCTACTTCCAAAGAAATAATGTGGTATTCTCAAGAGGCTTTTTATAAGACTAGTACAATGAAAACTCTTATTACTACATTAAGACTCGGGGATGGCATTTTAAGTGAATAACATCTTCAGGGACTAGAACAGCTACAGTTATGCAAAGTGATAAACTGTCATTCAGGAAATCATCTAGTTAGTATTGAGAGATACAATTTTGAGGGGAGAATAGCTTTTGAAAGGTGAAAGAATGTAAAATATGCATGATAGTTTGAGATGAGATTGTCTGGCCCTTTTCTCTTTGCAGATCTGATGGCTGTTCTCTGTCCCAAGGGGCCACTGAGAATGCTGGTAGAAACTGCACAGGAGAGAAATGAGCCTATTTTTCCTGCATTAATATATTCCTGTGAGTAAAATTAGAATGTTAAAGTTCTTAGCCAGATTAAACTGGCAAGCTATTTCTGCATCAAATCAAAGGAGCACTATTTTAGGTGTTTCCTTGCCCTGAGATTTGTGCCCATTTATATTCTGGAACAGACCATTTGTAGAAAGCCTTGTTTATCAGTAACAGTGGTGCCAACTCTAATTAGCCCAAGGCATCCCACACTTGCCTTGTGAAGCTGAAATGTTTACAAGCAGATTTATCCTTTGGTGACTGCACTGCAGAACATGCTCCTTTGTTCTGCATATAAAACCCTGTGTGAGATGGACAGTAGTGTTTGCAGTGTTCTGTCAGTAGGTGATGCTCCCTCAGTACACTCATTCCTTGTGCATAGGCTTTATAGGCACACTTTAAACGTGTGGTGTTGCTCCATTTTTCCTGCAGCCCCCTCTTGCTCTGTGCACTGCATGGGTGGCAGCGCCTGGAATTGTTCATTGTGTGTCTGCTCGCTTTGTAAAGGGCTCGAATATTCAGCTATTGCTCTGCAAGCAAAATCAGTCAGCTCTTCCCTGGCTTTCTTGGGCTCTTTAACTGGGATGGTGTCTGGTGCCCTTATCCATAAAAGTGTGTGTGCTCAGGATTGAGATAGCTGCAAGGCAGGTGAACCAACACTCGGAGGACCTGGACTCAGGTGCTTCAGGGACCTCAGCGACTTTTTCATTGCATCGCCTGTAAGGTGAATGATATTTCCAAATGTTGGGTGCTAAGCTGAGGATGTCTACAACCCAACTGATATATTTTTTTTTTAAGCATTTGACATCATGTAAACGCTTTCCTGTGTTCTAAGCAGAGCTTCTGTTGGCTTGATCTGATCTCCCTTTTACTGGAGATTCTGTTATACTGACCTGAGACAATCTAGATGAAGTCTCTCGTGTTTTAGTTAACAAACAAGAGTTTCTCTGAAGGAGAATGCAACTCAATAAATAATAAATGCTGAACAAAAAGTTCTTGTGCAGAACATCAATGTCTCCATTGCAAGACCACATTCTGTGGCTCCCTCTAGATGCAAAAACATCACCTTGGCTCAGCTTGTAGTGGAAAAGCAAGCACTGTGTTTGCCTTGGCCTATTTTGTATGGTTTACAGGAAGACTGATGAACACTCAAATATTTAACAGCTGATTTGAGTTCCCTTGCACTGATTTCAGAATGGTTTGTATTCCTTTATAACTGAGGGATCCATCTCAAGAATAAAACCACAAACATCCTTCAGTTATTCCTGGAACCAAACCAGAAATAGCCAATATTTTGACAGGCAAGAACCAAAACAAACAGGCTGAGAGAAAACTAACACTCTGACAACTCCTGCATATCCTTGCTTGTGTGGTTTACACCTTTAGGAGGACATGAGGAGCAAGCTATGTAAGTTAACCATTGGTTACCTTTTGTACTACCATCATATGCTGGACAATTGTTTTCTTTGAAGAGAAGAGCCAGAAACCAGAAGAAATCAAAGGAGATGAGGACCCTACTTCTGGATTTTTGCTTTCTTAGCCTACAGGGAAGACTATAGTTACTCTTAGCTATTTGTGCTTTGGGACTTTTTAAAAACCTGAATGGGTGCATGGCCTTAATTTTCTCCCACCTTGCCTTCTAAGTGTCCAGGGAAAACAACTAAGAGTGAGTGTTTCAGAAGCATTTACAGGGGAAAGGGTTTGGATTTTTAGGGACAGCTAAATACTTGGCTCCTCTGAGCTACAGTGACGGATGTTCCATGCAGCTGATTGCTTTCTGTCATCCTTCTAGCTGCTATGATATGGACAGTTGGAATGGCCAAGTCGGACGCAGCAGCGAGAGCAGCAAGTCGGCAGACGTGGGATGCAGGTTTGTTTGTGTGTCGCCCTTCTGTGCAGGACACTGTCCCGCGGAAATGGCGTGTGTTTGAGACTCCAACTAAATGCCAGCCCCGAAATCTGACGGATGTGGGGTTTTCAGTGTTAGAACTTTGTGCTGTTCTGAAACCAGCTGTTAGGACTGGCAGCAAAGATGGCCAGATGATGTAGGAAGCTCCAGTATTCAGGCTGCTTTTACTTAAAAAACAAGCAAACAAAAAAACCAAGCAGAAGTGTTGTTGAACACACATCTTCAGATGCACTGCAGTCAAAGCTGAAAGTGGGCTAGCGGGGGTTTACATCTTTACTGGCTGGGGGTGGTAACTCACAACAGAGGCTCCTAAGTGTGATGTTGATGAGCTGGTGAACTTCAGTGTGTTGCACTCGGGCCACTGCCACAGAGCAGACAGGCATTTACCTAGCCGTAAGTGCAATACGGTTCACCCTGCCAAGGGGCATGAACGCCTTCACATTTACCCTTGGGTAAAGGCTTATGTTTGTGCTGCTACCCAACAGTAGCTGATGTATTCCAAGTTTACGTCCTAGCTGGTCCTGTGGCAATTGGGGTGCGTTCACTTTTGCCTTCTTGAAATGCAAGTTAAACTGCAGTGTTAAGGTGGTTGAATAAAATCTGACTTGTGGTGTCAGGAGGATTTCCTGTTTGGCCCTGTTGCACTTCAGAGATGACAGTAACTTTTTATGTTAAAACAATAAATATGTGCTAAGGTTTGATAACTGAGCATGCTGCTTATTTCAGGATAAAGCAGCTGACATGCTAACAGACTGCAGGGACACAATCCTCCTTTGAAACTGGGCACAGAGCAGGCACAAACTACATGCTGAGGCATACAGAATGCCTCTGTGGAAGCTCTGTGTGTCCCAGGTCACAGTCTGCTTGTATCTGCAGCAGCAGCAGCCTGTCAGACTGATGTGGACTGGAAAGTTTGTATGAGTGCTTCTGGAAAATAGGAACTGTCAGAGTAATGTATCACAGACTGGCTGCTTCCGAAAGTGCTACCAAGGGCTCTCTAAGATGTGTTTAATGGAGGAGGGGGAGTGGGGTGAGGGAATTAAAGCTTTGAACGATGAAATCTGTTGGCTTTCTACATGTGAATACCCAGTTCCAACATCTATGTGATTCAGGACAGAACTTTTCTCATAAATGGCAGTCCTCTTAGTCATCCATTTTTGTCATATGACCAGGTAGGGGGTACCTGAGCACCTCCACCCCAAAGACAGCAATGTGGGAATGTGTATTAACTTTACTTGGCTTTACTTGTCATTCTAGCCTGTGCAGAGCCGTACTTAGCTCTGTGTATGTACTCACTTGTTGAAGCCATTGAACTCCTGGGTAGCTGCCAAAGAAGCTGTGAACACGTACCCTTCCAACTGTTTCAAATAATAACACAAGTGTTTTCCTCAAAGCCACTAAACATCTCGGCTTGAATTGGTCCTGATGATCTCAGCTCCAAGAAACAAAGGGCTTACCCGTTCCAGAGAAGCTTCACAGACATGTGGATTTCATGCATTGAAACAAGTTATAAATGTAGCTACCTCTTCTGTTTCTTTTTTTTTTGTCCACTCTTCTTGGCCTGTTGTTGTGGACCCAAGCTGAGGATGGGGGAGAGAACCGTAGGAGCCCTTCACATGCAGATTCCCAGATGCCGGGGACGAGGAATTCTGATCCAGCCCGCCCCATCACTTCTGCAGAGGAGCTTGAGGAGGAGGAAAGTAAGGGAAGCTTTACACCTTTTTTTCAGTGTAGTCAGAGCCTGAAGTTTTTACTCACTGTGGTTAACATTCTGTTACCTAGTTTGGTCTAATCACAGTTGATTTGAAGAGCTGTGACTTGTTGAGCAACAAAGATCTCAAGTCTGACCGTGTGTCACGTCTTGCCACTGCAGTTCTGGTTCCAGTGACATCTCTTGGCTACATAAACAATTTAAACAATTCCTTCTTCCCCTTGCCTCCCATCCCTCTCCACCCCTACACCTCCTCAGCTGGTATATCTATAAAGAAGCCCAGGGAAGCACTTTGGAGAATGAGGCTGAGCAAAAACAAGGGTGGGGGAGAGGGCTGGAAGTCTCAGACTCCTCAGTAACGTGTGGGTGCAAGGGGCCCAGGTTGGTAGCAAGGACTAGGAACCTTCACCTGCTCCTCAGGGGTCAAGAGTTTGTTCAGGAGGAAGTAAAACAGGAGAGGCAGAATTAACACTCGTTTTCTTGTTCCACTTGTCTCAGGGGGTGTGAAGCTGGGCCTTGGAGACTTCATATTTTACAGTGTGCTTGTTGGGAAAGCAGCTGCCACAGCTAGTGGAGACTGGAATACCACGCTGGCCTGCTTTGTAGCCATTCTGATAGTAAGTGAGCAAGCTTTTAAAAACTGCTACACCCCATTTAGCACAGCAGTGTTGCCAGAAATACCAGCAGCTGAGTGCTGTTGTATCACTACAGGTGACGTGCTGGGTGTTAGGAGAAACCACCCAGTGCTCATGTCTATAAAGACAGGCTTTGAACAGCTGCTGAAGCTGAATGATACAGACTCAGAGCAGAGCCAAAGTGTGGAGATGGTGGGGGTGAAATGGCCCCAGGGAAAACAGTTACAGCTGAACTGTTGGTGTGTTTGCTTCACTGTTAATAGATTGGGACTTCTGTTGGCCAAGAAAATCAGTATTTTGAGCTCCACATTGATTATTAAGTGTAGTTGACAAGGTTAACTCCCTTATGCTAAGGAGGACTGCTAGATAAGAGTATGAAGACCTATCTTGTGGTATCTTTTTACCACTTTCTCAGCAGAGAGCTGTGCTCAAGACTGCTCAAGATAATACCTGGCCAGCTTGCGTGAAAGATGAAGCTGTGGGTAAATGTACCTCATGTCACTGGTAGCTCAGGCAGGCTTCAATTGTTGTACAATGTATATAGCTTATCTGTATATTAGTTTGTTGATGACATACCTTTCTGGGCTACTGACTATATATCCTTGTGTTTTTTGTTCTCTCTGGCAGGGTTTATGCTTAACTCTTTTATTACTGGCTGTTTTTAAGAAAGCACTGCCTGCTCTTCCCATCTCCATCACCTTTGGCTTAGTCTTTTACTTCTCGACAGACAACCTTGTGCGACCATTCATGGACACCCTGGCCTTCCACCAGCTGTATATCTAGAAGTGGGAGTCAGAGGATTCTTTAAAGCTTTGCTGTGGAGTATGGTACACTGTTTGGAATAAGTCATAAAGTTTTACACTTAGTGCCATATATTTGTAAGGAAAACACTAACTCTGTGACATGCTGTGTACTAAAAATCTGATAGTTACCTGTTGAACTGAGATTTTTCACAGGACTCTTGGGCTCCAGTGAAAAGCCTGGTTCATTGCTGATGTCAGAGCATTACTTTTGTGTTATTTGATGTGCACACTGGCTGCTGTGAGCACAGAAGCCTGTATGGGGCACGAGGCACTGGAGAGGTGAAGGGTCTGATCTGTGCTTCTAGACACTAAGGTGTTTTAGCCCTGGAATTGCAATCAAGTTTAACTGTACTCTAGAAGTTCTAATGCTTTACAATTTGAAGTGCTGTGCAAACATGCAGTGCAACTAAATCCTACCTGTAATTAAAAAAAGCACAGCAGTGGGCGTGCACAGAAGAGAGCAGTGTGTTACACCGAGTTGTGACCATTAGAGGAATGAGCCTGAATTTCAGAAGCTGGCCCCTGCTGAAATTGCCCCAAATGCCTATTTATTCTGACCTTAGCCATAGTGAGCCATGACTGATGCAGACAGGATGCCAGTGATGGGACGTTTAAATTTCGGGCTGCTGGTTCTGAGGCAGGGCTCCATCAGGTCCTCAGCATGGGAAAACAGACACATTTTCCTGACTCCTCCCAGCATTTGATCTCCTGGGAAATCTTTTTCTGAGTCCATACTACAATCCTTAAATTACCATAAGGTAGAAATTAATGCACAACTCCAGTAAATCAGACCTGCAACTGCTTGTATGTATTTCTGGTCTCATTTCTGTCCATTGTTGTAACAGCTCCAAAGGAGGATTTACCTTCCCTTTATGAGGAAGTCCTCTTATGCTGATCGAGACTTGGTTTACCTTGGGTTTGGTACCGTTTAAAGAGTATTTTTTTTAATAACAAATTTTGAAATAGCTCTTTACTGGTAAAGGGACTCTTTTGGAAATACCCTGTCATGATTTGTATCAAAATACAGGGGTGACACCTTTAATCTGCTGTTAGATTACATAAGGCATCATTAATGCTAGGAATATTTATACACCCACAAGTGAGTTCATTAGAAAAAAAAAAATTAAAAAAATCACAGTGCTTGTTGCCAGTAAAAAAAATACAGTTCTGACTGAATCTTACTGTTTTCTCCACTGTTTATATTAATTTTATTTCTACTCAGAGTCAGTTTTTTAGCAATAGCCAAGTTCTGTAATTTTTTTTTCCCCTTGAGTGTCTGTTACGCAAACAAGCTCTGTTTTCTTTGACAGATGATCAATGTCAGTGTTTCAAAAATGTAACGTTATGCAAGGGTTTGTGCATAATGCAATGGTATTGAAAGATGCAGAATTTAATCTCTGAAAATACTTTTTAGGTAAGGCTTTGAACAATGTGTTTTTAAGGTAGTGCTTTTTCCAGTAGACTTGTTCAAGCTAATCTACTTCGATATTTAACAAAGACATCACATAGTTGATTGAAACAAATTTTTGAAAGCTCGTAAGGATTTTTATGAGTTGTGTGTGTCTCAGTTTGGACGAGTAAGTAATTCTTGCTCTATTTAGTTTTCTGTCCTCATTTCTTACATTTGGAATGTTTGGACTTAACAGCTGCAGGCAAAGTTAATTATTACTAAATGGTATTTCCTTTGGAAACTTAAATCACTAGAGCTCTGTCTGCTATTTTTTTAGGGTTATGTGAGAGTTGTTTTTTGTTTCTGTGGTTTTGGTGGTTTGTGTGTGTGTGTGTGTGTTGTTTTTTTTTAAACCAGTTACAGGGCCAAATCAGAACACAATCACTTGCGAACATTATTTTACTTTTTGCATTGCATAGTGTAGATAGGATGTGAAATATTCATATGCACAAGAAGAAAAATCTTGCTTGTTATAACAGGGTTGTAGCACATTGTTAGAAGCAATTTATTTCTATAAAAGCAGAGTTGAAATTTGAAGGAAACTGGGGGCAGGGGGTATACCCTCAAATATTGAAGGTTTGCTACTGGAGCTGGTAGTTTTCTGCAGATTTGTGCTTGCCAAAGATTGGCTTTCTACTGAGCAATTCTGCATAACATAATCATTATAGTTTAAAAGGTAACAGCAGATTCTGTCAGTGCAAAAAAAATGTATTGTCCTGGTGAGTGATAGGAGTATATCATGTATATACTGGAGTGGTTTTCATTGTGTTAAAAGTTCATGTGTATTTACTGCAAATATATATTCACTGTGTGTGTTTATGTTTATCTATACACACATACACAGACATTTTAGAAGGATACTGAATGATTTCTCATCTCACTGGGCACTTTCAGCTGTGCAGAAAGTGAAGTTTTGTTTGTGATGTTAACATTGTGCACCATGGCCTAAGATGTGGAAGTGAAGAGGGCAGGATTTACTCTACACCTACCTGGCCACTCTGTGTGGCACTGACTTGGTGACATGGCAACTTGACTGAGCAAAGCATTTGTCTATCTACTGTATTCATTCACTGATTTCAACTTGCTGCATGCTCTGCTGAACTGCAGTCTTTTTCACCCTGGAGAAATCCCGATTCTCCCACAGATGCAAATCCCTGAAAACACACAGCTGTCAGGTAGGCTGGGGTGACACCCGACTTGATGCAGGTGTCACTCAACAGCCTGAAGTCCTATAGGAGTTGACATGTGTTGGCATTTTCCTGCGTGGTCCCTGTCACACCCACTCCTGCAGTCTAAAGTGGAGTTCATCTGTATGAGGTTTAACAGGGCCAAGTGCCAGGACCTGCACCTGAGTCACAACAACCTCAGGCAACGCTACAGGCTTGGGTTAGAGTGGCTGGAAAGCTGCCTGGCAGAGAAGGACCTGGGGGTGCTGGTGGACAGCCGGCTGAACATGGGTCAGCAGTGTGCCCAGGTGGCCAAGAAAGTCACCAGCATCCTGGCTTGAATCAAAAACAGTGTGTCCAGCAGGAGTAGGGAAGGGATCATGTCCCTGGACTTGGCACTGGTGAGGCCACACCTCAAATACTGGGATCGGTTTTCGGCACCACTGTACAAGAAAGATATTGAGGGGCTGGAGTGGGTCCAAAGAAGGGCAATGGGGGGACCTGGGAGAACGTGTTATGAGGAGCAGCTGAGGGACCTCCTGGAGAAGAGGAGGCTGAGGGGAGACTGTATTGCTCTCAACTCCCTGAAAGGAGGCTGCAGTGAGGTGGGGCTTTGTCTCTTCTCCCAAGTCACCATAGGACAAGATGAAATGGGATACAGCACGTGTCTACTGGAGTCAGGAAAAGGAATCAAGGTCTGCTCTCCCATTCCTTCTTTGCACCAGTTTCTAATGAAGTCTCCTCCATGGGGCAATTGGATGAAGTTAGATGGACCATCTCTCTTTGAGTAACTGCCACTTGCTGATGGGACTGGTGAAGAATAGCTCAAGGCCCACAGTCCTTGCAAAAGAAAGTATTTGGAGGTCTCCTTGCTACTCCCAAACCAGTAAATTTCTCTGCTTTGTTCTTGCCTTCTTGGGTACTTCCAGTTAATCACACGGTGTGTTTACCTTCCTCTTCCTGGTAACTCAAATTGTTTTAGTTAAAATTGAATATGTAGTTATTTTTCTTCATGGTTTCCCGTGGTCCCTGGAAATTCTGCATTGGAGATGCTCCTTGGCAGCCACGGGAGGGCAGTAAGTCTATACGGAGAAGTACCAGCCATTTTAAGGTACTCTTCTCTGTTCCACTTGTTTTTCAGTGAAGCTGAAGGCCATGGCATCTCCCTCATGGCAGGGGAAGGCAGGCACTCCACATGCCAGCACGGCTGCAGTACTGCAGCAGCATGGGAGAGGCTCAAACTGTACCACAATCCATCTAAGACCAGCTGGTTTCAATGTGATGCCATGTTCAGCACTGAAGCTCTGGGTGACATGCTGATGTTGCATTTTTTTGTCGTCGTCCCCCCCCCCC